AAATAATGCATGACATTTGCTGTGATAAACGGATTAAAATATAATGCTTTGGACTTTCTAATACTCCCAAAGCAAAATCAAGCATTGCATTTAAGATTTCAATTAGATTTTGACAAAAGATAAACATACATCTGTGTAGAAGGTCAATCCAAAGACCAAAGAGTTAATTTTGACAGATTTTCTTCCTTCTTCATGTCTCATAAACAGAAAAGTAGTTTTCTGTCTGGCATATGCAAAACTTTTCGTCAAACAGTGCCAACGACGCGGATTAATTAAAATCTCCACGTGGTGCACCCTGGGCAACGTATACTCATACGGCAAAAAAGTCTATTAACCGGCAGTTGACTTCTGACTTCAAACTACCACGACCCCCCTGGTTGTCATATTCGACCCCTTACACAGTACTCACCTCACCTTTTTCTCTACCTTTGTGTCTGTCTGCCTCTTTTACATCTGTGAATCGCTCTTCTGTTCCCCACCCCTCGACTTTCTGCTACTTTGATGAACTTTCCCTCTGTGAAGCCCGAAGTCAGCTAAGTGGCTAATGATATCTATCAAAACGCCTGCCATTTAAAATAAATAAATAAATATATTTCAAATTCTATTTGTTCATAAAACATTGCATTTGAAAATATCATACTTGCTGATGGGGGTTTGAATTGACATTTCGGGACATAATAAAGAACGCAGATGCCTGCATTTCTAAAAACAACAAGTTGGTTAACTTTACTTCAACTATTTATTGAAATAAGTATAAAAGCTAAAGAACGCTTTTTGGTCATTAATCAAGAGGGTGTACGAACCTAATTACCAGATGCCTTATAACAGAGTTTCCCTATCGGATCGGTACCCATAAAATATGCCATTTTTTAACGAACTCAAATAAGCGTATTCCACTTGTTACGCTTGCTTCCTCTACGTCGTTGAGTTGGCTTAGTTGATTCCCCGAGCCCTTCCAAATTTAGGGAACTTAACATTGTGGCTTCTGAGCAGAAGTCCATATCTTGTCGAATAGCTATACGCTAAAATTATCATAGACCTTTTTTACAAGTTCTTATGAAAATGCTCTCATATATAAGAAAAGTGAGCTGATTAGAAAAAGACTTTTCTTTGCAATTTTCACTGATGCGTATTATTATGATTTTCCTTTATTACATTAAAATGAAAATCTTCCTTGTCATTGTTTCGTAATGTCCCGATCACTCACTTAATATTAACTGAAGTTAGCAAGAATATTGAGACCAGAAATGCCAAAGCTCAGTATAGCTCGTGACGCTGCCTAATTAATCGTAATGCTTCCTGCGTGGCAAATTAATGATTACAATAGCCGTCCTCGAGAGATTTGGACCGTAAATTGCTTCTCAGTGCCACAAAATCATCTTTTATACAATGAAACGAATGTCCATTTTTCAAATTTCTAAACCATGCCGTATATTTACAAATTTTCAGACATCTGCGTTAAAAAACACAAATTTTCTTTATCAAGTCTTCATTATCTTTTATTGCTATATTAAATAAACTTTTCATTTGCAGTTAATCATTCAGTTCTCAAAACTTATGACTGTCCTTATCCAATTATCTTGTTAAAAGCGACCTTTGCACTTGCGCAAGCGCAGTCAGTGCCGAACGCATCAGTTACACGAGCCTTGAATGTTACAAATCGCCATCATCAAAATAATTCGATATCTCCACTTAGATGAATCTGAGAGAATTCTATCCACTATCATCCGTATGTAACAAGCTAATATTTGACATTTATTGAATAAATATCAAAATTGATATAAATTTAATATTTGACGAAGATAAATGGAAATTGACGACGAAAATATGGGCATTGGAGGTAATTCATCAAAACAGCACTCATTTCCTAATAATTAATCTCGTTAGCTAGATTAATCCACATAGTTACAAATAAAGTGGCGCATAACCAATTTCAAATAAAATAAGTATTGCAAAAATTTTAGACGCCATGCAAAATACACTTCTACAAATAAATATTAAAATGGTATGCAATAATAAATATCAGATGTTGGAAATATAACAATATCAGTTAAAATATATTTCAATATTAAAAGATATATGCTTATCTATAGTTAAATAATATTAGTTCAAAATTTAAGACATTAATATTCTTTTGCAAAAGTAATATGAATGAAAATAAATAAAACGCAATTTGAAATTGTAAATAGTTTATTTCTTCATGACCTTGACTCCCCGCTAATTTGGAGCATTTTAATACTTACTTTGGAAATATGGATTCCCAGGAAGACGATATATCTTGCATTTTTGATGCCTCTTACTCAGGATCATCACTTAGCCGTTCTTCATTAGTTTGGAGAGGAGAAAATGAGATGAAAATAATCAGGAGCAGTAGTTATGCATATAACATAGACGATAGTATCGAGCACTTTGACTATTCAGAATCGCTTTTCCGCTCTCTCGAAATGTCCTCAATGCCAGATCTTGTTTATCACAAATCCGATGATATTGAAAATGTTCACGAGCCTAGTCGTCGTCGGGATTTTTCTGCCGCTCCGGATTTCTATCACGGATCATATCACAATATCTCAGAAAGTATTGTTAATCTATCAGCATTTATGAAAAATCAAAACGAACCTTTCAGACAATCTTCACGAAAAGATAAGGTACCTGCAAATAGCGACCAAACCGGGGTTGAAAACCATAGAGCTGTTTCAGATTTCCAACCTTTGAGCGGTAATGTGGTCTTAGAGTCGACCAATGAGCCCAAAATGCAATCGTCAACTCAATCTACAGTGATGGATGCGAAAACTGAATCCTGTATAGAAGTCCCTGGAACTTTTACTCAAAACAGTCCTTACGATATTGAGATGGAGGTTCTTGTCATTCCCATGGTAAATGATTTCAACAAAACAGAAATACGTATTCCGACCACCAGTTTGTCCTTAGATAAGAAGAAAGTCCTTAAGAGAGTATGTTGGCTGCTTTTGTTCAACTTCTAAACTATTAGATTGCTGCTGAAAACGAGCTTACATCATTGTATATTGGAAAAGGCAAATCTAGATACCTCGTCCTTCGTAAAAAGGCATCTTTATTGCAGAAACAAGCTGCCGAAAGAGACGCCCGAATAAAAATTGAACTTGAGAAGAAGAGGAAGTTGGAGGAAATGCCTATCCCGGTTGAAGATCGTAAAAGCTTAATTTCATAATGCTCATTTTTACTTTAGCATCTCCTGTTAGTCAACCGTGTCTCTGTACAGTATCAATACAAACGCCTTCAAAAATTGATGCATCGAATAGTGTAAGAACTACGCATTATATACAAGTTTTCCCCCTTTAGAATGGAATAGGCAAAGCCAAAGCTAAAAAGACCTCAGCAACGGGCACGTCTGGTGACACTTCAATGAATGCGGCAGAAAGGCGAAAGGCAAGACGGGCAGCTGAACGACTCAGAGCTCAAATGATGGAAGAAGCCAAAACGAGAAAAAGAGAAACAGTGATGCAAACCTGCCCTCTTGATTGGATAATCTGTCCCTGGTGTACAAAGGTTCGCCATAGCATTGTAGTTAATTTACACCATTGAACAGCAATGATTTTTGCATCTCAATCCCTCGTTGTATAGATACTTTCATTAAAGTAGGTTTGCGGTGGTAATTATCCAAATATATTTCTACTATTGTTTCGTGGTACGATTAATAAAAGAAAATTGCTTTCATTTGTAATCATAGAGATTAAAGGTTATGTTTCTTATCAAATTCATCTGAAATTATTAAATTGAAAGCGAGTGGCTTCATAAAGTGATTTACCTTGAAAATTATAAATGAGCATTCATGTTTATGAATGAACAAAGACGTTTTGTCGGTAGTTAATTCATATTTCGCTTAAATGTGTTGACGTGTAAATATGTTTTGGCTATTTTTATTTCCACAGAACTGATGGTTTTACAAGTTAAAAATATGCACGAATGCATGTTTTGATACGATTACTGCACTCTTTTGTTACAAAATTTCTCTTTTAGTTTTGTATTTATTTAAGTATGTTGCACCATATTTTGTCTGGTTTTATTGTTCTTTCATGGATTAACTCTTCTGTTAAAATAATTCTAATTGCTTCGTTTCATTTAAGTTAAGATTGAGTTTGAAATTTGTGCACTCTACTGCAGATTAACTTTTCCAATATGTTAATCAATTTTATTTCAGGATATACCACCAGCAGAACAATGTGGACATATTGCAATGTGTCGAGCACTCCACCGTCAACAGAACCAAGAGGCGATGGCTAAGGCCCAGTTGGAGGACTTTAGAAGGAATAAGCATAAGAACCACCCAGTACGAAAATCTGGAAAGGGTAATGACCACACACTTATTCAACAAAATCGTGAACGACAGCGCAGTAGCAGTGCTTCGAAACGAAAATTAAGCAGATCTCGAACTAGATCGGTGAGTCATCCATTTTGACTTGCTAAATATTTATATTTTTTATACCGAATGGCCGGCTTTATTATGGTCATTATCAGTCCTTTAGTTGACTTCAGGCTTCACGGAGGGGATGAATATCAGCATCAAAAAAGAGGAGGAACAGTAGAGTGATTCACAGATGTAAGAGACAAACGCGAAGGTAGAGAAAAAGGTGTGATGAGTACTGTGAAAGTGGTGGAATATGTCATAGTCGTGTCATGGTAGTTTGAAATCAACTGAGGGTTTTTAGACTACAATTGCCATATGAGCATACGTTGTCCATGCTGCAACACGTGGAGGTAAGTCGATCGCGTACCACACTTGTTTTATCTAAGACATATTGATTACGGATATAAAATAAATCGATAATTTCATTTATTTTCTAATGGGTTTTATTTTTTCTAACTGTTGACCTATTTGTTTTGGTTCCTTAAAATGCATACCAGTGGGTCGTTACTGATTTCCATCTGCTGCGAAGCGATCCACGAGTGGGTCGTTTATAAAAATAATACGGCATATTTAAAAGAATGCCAAAATTTGGTATTATTGGCATTTTCAACCCAGTCGTTCATGATGATATAATATGAAAGTTTGAAATAATAGAAAATATATGTTCAACTCTTTTATTAGAATTCCAGAGGCACTGTCGCTGTAGCAACCCAATTATAATCGTACCAGAGGGCAGTCGGTGGTTACGGCCATCGCATTCAATGTATTAAAATAATAATTATAGCTCCAAATAATTTTTTTATCCGAAATTAAGACAAAAAAGCCCTCCCTTGGGTAATCTTTAAAGGGTACATTAAAAAGTGGTAGAGATCATTCTTGCACCAAAACTGATCGTATAATTCTATATTTTTTCCGTTCATACATTTTTTCTATTCACTATGAATATATTATTTAATTTCATTTTTCTGCCTTGAGCTATTTATTTAATATATTCGTCTGATTTCTTCGTTGGTTTGACGCACATTGTTGACTACTAGAAGCACCAATTTCTTGTGGCAGGAATTAATATTTGTTAGTTGACAGCAGCAAACGACAATTCTAAAGGTCGAACTAGATGTACAAAGTAGCTCTTATGCTTGTTTCTCTTACGACAACTCATGTCATTTAAATACCTCCCAAAGTGGACTCGCTGTGAATTTTAATGGATTTCCAAATTGCTTAAATCGAGATTTGTCATTCTGACAGTCTTTTTTCACTTCGGATTTATAATATTTATGAATATGACACTCGAGATACTGCTTACTTTTCCATTTTGAAATTTCGTACCAATCTGCGAAAGAGAATCCGACATTATCCAAATCTTCCTTCTTGACGGGTATGTTTAGTTCTCGTTAGTCTTAGAAATCCCTATATGTAACTAATAATCTCCATGAAGGCTAACGGGATAAAATCAGGACCTTGAAGATATGTGAGAGGGAATGTGGAAAGATTGGTAGCAGGACGTGGGGATCGAAAGTTGGTTAGGGGGGGGTGGTGAGAGAATGAACTGAAGCCCAGTTTGCAGATATTGGGTCCTTCGCTCGCCTATTGGCAACCGATAAAGATGCCAACTAACAATTTGAAAACGCATAGTTATAAATCAGTATGCACTAAGTACTACACCACTTTAAGTTTCTTCCAAACATTGGAGAATGTGATTTTTCTTTGAAAAGATGTCAATATTTAGAAATTTCCTGCTTTTTGGTTCATGAAACTAATACTGCATTTATATGAATTTAAGACCCAGTCTTTGAATTGTATCGTATTTCATGACAACAAGTCCTCTATGCAAGTTCTATACTGTGCTTGTCTTCAAATCAATATAAGTAGGTTAGTTGTGTGTGTGTGTGTGATTTCTGCTTTCACAGGATCGTATGAGTGCGTGTGCTCTGACAGGCTACACTATCACAAGGATGGTGGGGTGCAATGTGCGCGTCCTGTATGCTAATGCCATAGATACCATTACTCACATCCACGCACTTACCTAGAGAGCGAATGAACACCATTCACTTAAGGTAAACAGACATTGCTGTTTTATATAATTTGACTTTTCTGATTCATCTGAAAATGTCAATGTTCAATATCAACCTCATTACTAAATAGGAGGGAGGGGGTTGGGGGGTTGTCTTCTATATTTAATCCTTTAACGCTCTTAGGACCCTCACGGTTCTCCTTCAAAATAATCTTCATTGTATTGTTCAAAACGTCCATGGCCTTCGCCAGATACATCACCAAGCCTCATCACGTCGGCAGTATCAGTCTGCTGTGAGACATGCCTGAGTGCGGTTGGGTGCATTTTTCAAAAAAGATTCGGGCTTTAAATTGTTAAGTCAAGGTTTTGTCATATCTGGAATAGCAGTCATGCTCTCCATCTTTCAATTTTCAGTTCAAATTTACATAAACTATCTGTCCTCCTAATCATCCTCTACTTGGTTTTAATCTTATCTTGCTCATATTTGTCTAATAACATAGGAAAACGGCTTCCAACTATACAGTCGTTAGGTTTGATAAACTTGCATGAATGGAACAAAACGTAACTCACATTCCAAATAAACTCCCACAACCCTTCTATATCCACGTAAAAGTAAACGTACTATAGAAATGAACTATTTATATGCACTTCATTAGAGAGGATCAGTCAGAGAAGTTTACAAATTTTAATAAAACGCTTAATTAAAAGTGGAAAATACTAAATTTATCTATTATGATCAATAAATAAGTTTGAGTTAGAATGCAAATTGTTCATTTGGTCGATAAATTTTTGTGTTTGCTTTCATTAAACTTCTTCGATCTTTAGCAATACACTGCACTTGGCAAGTGTGTTTAATTTATTAGCAACCAAATTTACCTGCCCGAAGAAGTGGCATTAAACCAAGCTTCATTGGTGGCTTAAAAGGCGTGCGGTAGAATACCAAGTTTCAGCTTCCCATTTTCTCTTAACCTTAATATGCTTAATAGCAGTTAATTTAAATTCAAACTTTTGACAATGGCTGGATAATTCATAAAATTTTATTTCGAATCGCACTAATTAAACTCATAGTAAAATATATAGGAAAGCTGTCTTAGAACTGTCCTTAAACGCCCTGCAGGACCGTACGATCCTCTTGCCAAATAGGGCTCAGTGGTGCTAGACTCATAATAGAGGTGAAAACAGTAGGGGAAATGATTTAGAACACGAAATGTAAATCGATCGCTAAAAAATAAACGTGCATATTCCCTTTATTGGAGCAATCGTTAAATATTCTTCCTACTTACAAAAATAAGTAATTCAATTATTCATTGTAAATCTTAGGTCGACCCCTATCTTGCTGCTGCGCTCAAGCGTCAAAACCTGATTGAAGCACAGTTGAAAGAGGTCCATCCAAATGATGTTAATGGAATGCTTCACGCTGCTCAACGTGTCTGTGCTGTTCCTAACTGCACTCATATCGTTTCACCAACGTCGGGTGGCCAATGCTCTCACTGTCGCTTTAGCTTCTGCCCCCAACATCGGCCACCTCACACTGGACATTCTTGTTCTACTGCACTAAGTGTCGAGAAACTGAACAGGTCAACTGACGAGGAGGATGCTATTGCTGACAGACAGGCTATTCTCAAACAACGTATGCGCCAGCGAATTAATAATATGGCAGAGAGACGGCGAAGATAATTCCGTTAAATTGGGTTGTAATTTTTTCTAAGTAGGTAATAAGTAAAAGTGACTTGTGTCTCAATCTAATGCTTAGTTTTGATATATTTGATAATATTAGATAAGTAATTCAAGCAATTTGTAAAGAGTATAATGTCTATATGATGTATGAAATATAGACAAATTAACGTGCACATTTCAAATAGTGAAGGTAGTCACCTATTCGACAAACCCCACAAAGAGTGATTGAAACCAATGACAATGCTAATTGATCTAGCCAAGTTTGCAAACCACCTATTAGCACCACTATTGATTATTATCCATACCCACATTCGCGATAAACTCAATGCGTTTGACCAAAGTGACAAGATTTGATGTCAGCCATAACTGATCCATTACTACTCTGCAGACACAGCCAAAACAGAGAACCAAAGCTTTTGAAGTATCTATGATGAGATCTCCAAAGGGTATGTATAAGGAAATAGAGTGCACATTTATACAAATATTGCTCAGTTACTAATCAACATGAGGGTTCGTTATCAATTAGACATGGCCGATGTTTAACGAAGAAGAATTGACAAGTATGCCCAAATTTCTTCATCAATCAAATTAAGATAACTTTCTTAGTCACCTCCGCTCTGACCTAAGAATCTGAATGACGTAACTAAGTACTTCTTAGTCCACATGAAGAGGGCATCTTCCAAGCGAATGAAAAATCATCGCCTTTCTAATGAGCACACAAAGTTACCAGTTTAACCCCCCCACTCCCCAACTATTCGCTGTGTGTTGGAATATGTTTCCGTTAAAAAAATGCTAACTACCTTTAGGAGAATCTTCAAATAGGTCATTCGAGCACTGCCTCTGCACAATTTCGCTCTTGCGATGTTGGCACAGGCTTACATGAATTAGTGAAAGTTTAGCAAGTCAGTGTGTGCTGTCATTTGTCAAAATCTAAAAATGAACTATACTACGCATTTCATTTTAAAGGTATTAAATGGTGAAGAGTAATAATTTTAAATACAAATATCGGGTGAATTCTAGAGTTTATTATAAATCCGATCCTTCCAAGTCGGTACGTTTTCATGTATTTCAATTGTCAAATACATGGTTTTTCCTAAAGTCTCGTTGTTCACTCGGCAACTGAGATTGTACCTGTGGATGATTTCTTTTATGATTGATGCCAATCAGTAAGATGATAACTAGTTTTGAGCACTGTCTAGGTTTATAAAGGTAGGTTCAACTTCGATGAATCGGGGTCACATGATAGAAAGCGATGAATAATGAATTTTGTATGTGCATTTCAGCAGCCCCATTTTGGGACTTATGTATTCCACACTTCACTACATTTAGACATAATCAATGTTTACCGTTGATCATTGCTATTCACAACTCAGGTCACATTTAACTTTCAGCACTCTAAAAGCGGATGTAGACTAATCTCAGAAATTCGAAAACTAATTCAAGATACAAAACATAGAAAGGTGTCTCCATTGATTTGATTGATCAATTCATTATTAAATTAATTATACTTTGTATGTGATTTTATGGATTCTCAATTTTATTATCCAGTATCGACGTTCGAAGCATGATATTATGGAATTTATATATTAGTAGTAAATTCACTAATTTGAATAGAGTTTTCACGGAACGTTCAATAATAGGATAAACTTATATTCATTTATAAGAATAAGTAGACAAAATAGCTTGTTTAATTGTGAAAATAAGATTCAACTCAAAAATGAAAATGCGAAGAAATTTAAATGAAAAACATGGTAAGATATGGTTTATCAGCTCCGCATCAAGTTCTTATGGATTTAAAAATATTCAAATAATGAATGTTTACGCGAGCCAATTAACTGAATAAATTGGAAATAATTAAGTTATATAGAATTGATGGGTCGCTAAAATAGCTGAAGGAATTTGACTTTTCGGTGTTTTCTGTCTTCCACAATTACATTTTAACCGCGACTGCGACCTAGCATATGATGATATGGATTACTTGGACCATCTGTCATTTCCCAGGCTCGACTGTTAGCAAGTCCTGACATTGTGTTTATGTCCACACCAATTTCCATGTCAGTACTCCACTCACCAACCAATTTACATTGATCAGGTTTCTTTAGTACCGCATTTCTTCCTGGAGCCATATCATTTGTCCAATTTTCCCAGGGAACAATAATTTGCTTCGGTGACACTAAGAGTCTGGGTCTTTCATTATTAGTCGGATACCATATGAGGGATTGAGCAGCATTACAATGTGGAGGACTCAGAGCGGATAATGGAATCGGTTTGTTAGTCTCTAAGATTTCTGGTTGCGATGCCTGTTTATCAAAAACGTCCTGAAGGCGTCTTCCTATTGGCTGGTTCAAATCAAAAGTCATATGCAGATTATAACGCCAGCGCATGGTTTTAAGAATATAAACTTCATCCTGTTTAGCATTGAACGAATCCATTGAAGAATTTCTCGAACTGGCCCGCTTAATAGCTATAAGCCAAACCCAAAAATCCTGCTTTCTTATGACATCCGTTAGTCTAGCAGCTCCATTATAAGGTAATTGCCAAGCCACAGTAGGATAAAAGTGATCTTCATAAGAAAGAGTAACCAAGCTTTCTGGAACCACACCTTTACGAAGTTCAAATTTACTGCTTGTCAGGCTGTAGAATGGATATTGTCGTCCATCACTATCGTTGACCATCTTATGTCGACCGCTTTTAAGGGGATGAAACTCCCAGAATGAGCTGCCGCTGCCACCATAACGGTTCTCCAAATACATTCGATCGCAAGCTTGAACAAGACCTATGCTCCAGTGCTTGTCTGAAACGCTCTCAGGCAATTCGATTTGAACTTTACATCGAAAGTGTTGACTTTCGTATTTCAGCAGATTTGTCATTTCAGTTGTGATTGTGGTGGTTTTATCGTCATAGTAGGCTCGAACAGATGCAATTTTAATGTCGCTAGCGGAAAATTTAGTCATTTTGGATTAAATTTAGAGGATAAACCGAGGATTATTTCGTGAGCCGTGTCTGCCAGCACGGGAAATTACTAACGATTCTTCGCACGACAGTTAACGATCACGTGGATAGGGGGTTAAACTTACACGTGTGTGTTAACGTGTTTTTTTACAGATGCTAATCGTGGATCTATGTATGTTAGTTGTATTTGCGTAGAAAAATGCAAAATAAGAGGATGGTTATTTTTTAAAAATTTTAATGCAACTTAATATGAGTTACTTATGGAAATATTACTTTCGATGCTTCTGATTGAGTTCTCTGATTACTGAGAAAATTGACTAATTGACTGTGAACTAAAGCTACTACCGAAGGGTTTGGGTAAATTCGTTTGATATTCTAAATTTTTTCGTGTAACGATTAACGCTATAATAATTTCCCCATTCAATTGGACTGAGGCCAAAGTATACAGTGTTTGTACTATGCGCATAAAATAAGAAACTTAATTGATTAAAGCCCCATTTTTTATAATAATTATTGTTTTCATTTAAATAACTCTTATATCAATAATTATATTCTATGACTGGTGCGCGATATTGTAAAGAAAACTTTTCCAATGATGACGTGTAGAATAGTACTTCCAATTTATGTGCAAGAACTCGAAAAATAGAACCCCAGACACATTTAATTATGAATTCCAAACTTAATTAAGAAAGGATACTTTAAATATTCAGTTCAAGGAGAGAATTTTGAACAATTTTGTATTGAAGGCCATCAATATCATAAATATTGTATTTACTTAATCCAATCTACGATCAGTTAGATCAATCACAAGGAACCTCGTCTAATCGTCTACTTACTTTATCAAGGTAGATTTGAAAAATGACCCTCTTCAAAGAAGATTGTTTAATGCCTGACAATTATCCATTAGGATTAATCTGGTTTGTGACATAAATTAGATTAAATGAATTCAGATGTCTTAAAAGAACCGTCGTCATCATAATGCATCATGGGAACTGCGTTAAAAACCAGTCTAATCATTAGGGATAAAACTGGGAGAATTCTAACTCCTCAACGAAATAAGAAGTTTCTCTCTTTGTGGAATACTTTGACATGACCTTTTTTAAAGGTAATATTAAATTACGTAATTAAATGAGAAATCATCTAGTTGTACTTATTTATTATAAAACATCTAATATACAAACAAAGTGCAGTGATTATTCAAGGATATTAAAATGCCCTGGTGAGTGCAAGACCAATGACATGAGAATTTGACTAATTGGTGTTAAAGACTTCAAGAATAAATTAACTTTCATTTATTATTTAAAAGAATAAGGCTGGAAACTCGTGCGACTTAGTTTTATTTCAAAAAGGGTTATTTTTCATTCCCCAATAAGAAATGTCTGGTGCATTTCTGTTTTTTGTTTTTTTCTGTTTTCCCCGAAGAGACAATATGTTTTTTTGAGACATTGTGAATTATTTAAATAAAATTTACTAATGACTGCTTGATTGAAAAATGTCTAATTTCATTTTTGCGAAATGTAACTAACTCAGATTTAAAAAATGCCAAACAAAATATCGAACAAATATCAAAAAAACGTACAGAGTAACAATATTTATCGGCTATTTCCATCAAGGACTTTTAGTCAGAAAATATACTCAAATTCATTCTGTTGATAAATTACGACCCCCTTCCACTTAACTAGTGCAATCGATTTCGATCTGTCAGTTTGAATCTCATCCCTCAAAAAAATATTTATAATTTATTTTTTTTAATTTGAGTGATTGGCCAAACTACCAATAGTTAATTGAAAATAAATGACCAAATCACGAACCCACATTTTGTATCTCAGAAGGATGAATTCATCCACTCACACGAATTCTACGCTTGAACAAGACTTAAGCAGCTTATATCTTCTCTGGGATGGCAATTGCCAAACCAAGTTTCATTGTTTTACATTTTAATACAGGGTTCATTTGTTCGTAAAATGTCCGCCTTTCAAACACAAAATACTAATGAATATTTTGATTTAATTCAACACTACTTTACTATCGGGATTTCATTTACGCATATATATTTCAGTGTCGAAAGGTGTCATATCTTATTAATAACATAAGAACTTATCTTAGTTTTCAAGCAGTAAAATGCCTTCAATCATTTTTAACTGATGTTTGCTGGCATGTTGATCGATAGAAGTTAAATTATTTTACTGTCAAAATCCTTCATATTATATTATAGAATCAAAGGTTATTATCAGGGTATATTCATTTATATCAAATGGCAGGTTTTAAGACACTTATTATTGGCCCTTTAGCTGACTTTCTGCTTTAGGGAGAGGAGGAACATCAAAGCCTCAAAAAGTCGAGAGAGGGAACAGAAGAGTGATTCAGAGATATAAAAGAGACAGACAAACACAAAGGTAGAGAAAAGATTTATTTATATCAAATGCAGGTGTTTTGATAGTTATCATTAGCCCTTTAGTTGGCT